TGACAGCTGCTTTTCATCCTGTGAAACACACACTTACAAGCTATGAAGGAAAAAAGTATGATACAAAACCTAAAACTTCTTTGAACACATCAATGAGAAGGCTGAAAGACAAGCCACAGCCTGGAAGAGATTTGCAACACAAATTACAGGCATACCTTATATGTGCAGATATATATAATGCTACAAAATCAATTCAGATGAACAACAAACAATACACAAGACAAATGGGTTAATTATATAAATAGGCAAGCCACAGAGGAGGAAATAAAAACACCCAATCAATATGTGGAAATATTCCAATTATACTAGCTATGTAATACAACTTTCATACAAGTGATAAAAATATAAGGCTTGAAAATACCAAGTGCTAGTGAGGGTGTGAGGGGCTGGGTTCTCGTGTACTGCAAGCTTGGATTGGCACTGATATTTGACGAGTTAACTGATAGCAGTAATAAAAATGAAAATGGGCAGACAATACAACGTAGGAAAGCCATTTCTAAAAATCTACACTGAGGAATTCTCACATATGCTTACAAGGCTATTCACCAAAGCCATAATTATGAGCGAAAATATAAAACACTAAAAAGCTGACTATCAGGGGAATAAACTATATCCCCAGATATTACAGAAGAGTAGGAAAATTTTCTGCATAGTGACATACATGGAAGGATAATCATGTAGTATTATTGTTTGTTTTTGGGCGGGGTGGAGAGGTTTTGAGATAGGGTTTCTCTGTGGCTTTGGAGGCTGTCCTTGAACTAGCTCTGCAGACCAGGCTGACCTCGAACTCATAGAGATCTGTCTGCCTCTGCCTCCCGAGTGCTGGGATTAAAGGCATTTGCCACCACCGCCCGGCTATTTTTTTATATATTTTTAAGTGTTTTTTTTTGTGTGTGTGTGTGTGTGTGTGTGTGTGCTGTGTTCTGATCTGAAAGAATGACAAGTGCTCTAGACACTGAACAATCTTTCCAACTCCCCCCCCCCACCTGCCGCCCCACCAGAGTGGTACTCTAACACATCACATAGTTTCAGGAAAAATAAAGAATAATGTTCTAAAACAAAATAAAGCTATCTGTATATGATTCAAAATATATATGTGTGCAAATACACAGAGAGTGGTCTAGAAACTTCCCACCAATTGATTAACTCTGTGGAGACAACCATGTTGGATAAGGGACAGTTGGAATACAGAGTGGCTTTATTTCCAATGTTCAAATGTTTTTAATGAGTATATTAACTTACTAACTCATGTAGTTATAAAGCAAGTATAATTTATACAGATTAAAACAAAAATTTAAAAATCCTATAATAGAAGTACTGGGAGAGTCATGTGAGACCATATTGAAAGGAGAAATTACTTAGCACATAGAAAGATTTTATAACAGTCATGGCATTTTCACTGGGCCTTGCTATTTAAATAGGACTTTGTCAATATTTATAATGTGATAGAAAGCTGGTAGACTTTTTCCAAACGCACATACTGGCACATACATGTATGTGCTAACATGCATCCCACCCAGTGCTGTTTTTCTTTTAATGTGGTATGACCCTCCATGGAGAGGTAGAGGTCTACCCTCCAGACTTTTCAACTGACTGAATGAACAGAACATACTGGAAGCATGATGGCATGGCTTCTGAGATTGATTATACAGCTTCTACTGGGTCTCTGTGCTGTGCTTACCCTGGGAACCCAGTCACCATACTGTGAGGAAGCTCTCACTGGCCCACGTGGAAAGACCACTTAAACAGGCTCATGTGGAGAGGAACTGAGGCCCCCAATGGATAGCCAGCAGCAATGGCCAGACACACAAGGGAGAAAGTCTTCAGAAGATTCTTGGCCTGGCCTTTGAGCTCCTCAGCCAAGGCCCAGACATCTATCCATCATGGAAGGGGCAAGCCATCCCCACTGTGCCTTGTCCTAATTCCTGTCCCAGAGAATTCATGACATAATGAATGGTATTTACACCACAAAATTTAGACCAGCATGGTACCCTGGAACAAAGACAGTCTAAAGAGAACGGACTCCACATGGTATGTCACAGAGCCATGAGAGTACTGGCTGTTTGGGGTGATGGGTCCAGAAAGATTGGCTGGGATCAAACTATGGAAATTTCATATGACAATATGAAAAAATTAGATTTATCTCACTGGCAGCAGAGAGCTGTTGACAGTTGTGAAGCTGGGAAGTGAAATGCTAGGATCTGCATTTTAGCAAGCCAGGGAAAGGCTGGAAAAAAGAAAGGCTTAAAAATAGGAAAAAGATCTGGGGAGATGGCTCAGTGGATAAAGTGCTTGTGCACATAAAAGCAGGGTAGGTATTGAGCCTGCCTGTAATCCTAACACTCAGGAGGCAGAGACAGGACCCTGGGACAAGCGGGCTAAGACGCCTCGTAGGAATTGGTGAGCTCTAGGTTCAGTGAGAGACCCTGCATCAGTAAACAAAGTTGACAGACACTGAGCTAGTACACCTGGTACTAACTTCAAGCTTCTTTGACATATGGCATGTGCATACACTTGCACGTACACACCCATAGATGAACACACACACACACACACACACACACACACACACACACACATGGGTTCTGGCTAAGAAAAACAGTGGAGGCATTCCCTTGTGTAGCACTTTCTGTGGCTTCTCCTCTTCAGGGTGGCTTCTATTCTCACCTACAATCAACTTCACTTGTGTTAAAGTGTCAGAGGGAAAATATATATTAATTCAAAAGCCCACCTTGGTTGCTTACTTATTAGTATCTGCGAAACTCAAAGCAACCAGAGAGTCCTACAGTGGGCAAATCAATAAGCTGGTCTATCTTACTCTGCACTCAGGAGAAAGTAGTGATCCAGCCATGAGGAGAACTTTCAATCAGGTCAGAACCTCAAAGAAACAACTCTAAAGTGGTTATGTATGCATGATTCCAATGCTATGACATTCTAAGAAAGAAAAAACTATGAAGACAGTAAAAAGGTGGCTGAGAGAGCTGAGAGAGGCAGGGACAAATAGTGGAGCACAGAGAGACATGGGACAAGCCTACACTGTATGGTAACAGTGTACATATGCCATGCCACTCACACTCACAGAGTGTCCCACACCTAGAGTGAACTGGGACAAAGCCACAGACTTAGAATGACCGTCACATCAATACAAGCCTGACTGTGATAACTGTGGATAGCGACAAGCTGCATGTGTTTTGCACAAGAGCAGACACTCTACACTTTCCACTGAGTGATGCTGTGAATCTAAAACTGCTCTCAAAAAGAAAGTCTATATTTGAAATGTTAGGAGGAAAAAAATGTTAGACAATGTCAGAATACAAAATAGTTTTCCTAACTGCTCTTCCTTCAAGCTTTTGGATTTGGGCTGTTTGCTGTAAAGGGTGTTAGAAGAATACTAAGCAAAGCAGATGCTGTGGTGTTCTCCTTCAATTCCAGCATCCAGGAGGCAGAGGCAGGGGGATCTCTGTGAGTTATTTCCAGGACAGCCTGCTCCACATGGTGAGTTCCAGGCCAGCCAAGGCTACATAGTGAGACACTGCCTCAAAATTAATTAATTAATTAAAATTTTAAAATGCCAAGCAAACTGTCCCTGGGTTATAGCCATTTATAACAATTTACCTGTGTAAATGCCATCCCACACAAATATCACCATATCTCAAGTTTTGTTGTGTTTATTAAAATATTATTTAAGTTCTTACAGGACTTTAGTAGAACTATTTATAAATGTGTATTTGTAAGGAAAGTAAGTCTATGCTAACACACTGTGATCCAAGCACAGGGAGCAGAGAGAACCTAAACCCCGAGGTACCACTTCTGTGAGACAGGACAGGCTGACTGGGAGCTAGGAAAGCAAAGAGACAAGGCCTGAGGGGTACTGAGGTACATCTCACTCACATCTTGGTGAAGGATGGTACACCCTACCTGCTGAGCAAACCCAGAGGAAAAGCCTATTACAACCAGGATGAGGTGTGGTGTACAGTGTGCACTTAGCATGCAGGCCATGAGGCCTGGGCTCCACCTTCAGCTCCAAAGCATATTGCAGATTGGGACTTCATGTAGAGCAGAGACCAGAGGTAGAAGTTCAACCAGAGCCAGACAGTAACGGGTCCTGACAGCAGCAGAGCCCAGATAGATCCCAACACTGTCATTTATTGGAGGTGACTTTGCTATCATTTTGTATAATTTTATCCTGTGCTCCCCCGGGGTGTTTTGAGACAGGGTCTTACACTGCAGTCCAGGTTGGCTTGGATGAGGCTGGCTTCAAGTTTGTGGCAATCCTCCTATCTCACCATCCTGAGTGGTGAGAACTACATCCAGATTTATACTGTGCCCTTTCCTAATGTTAATTATTCAAGAGATGATTAAGTAAGCTATGGAGATGATGGTGTGTGATGCTTATTCGAATTTTCACTTAATGCCTGCTTTAAAAGGATCTCATTCATTAAACTTCATCAAAATAAGTTACATTAAAAAACATACCAAAGCTGGGCTATAGAGACGGCTCAGCAGTTAGGAGCTGCACTCAAAGAGGACCCAGGCTCAATACCCAGCACCAACATGGTGGCTCACAACTGTCTATAACTCCAGTTCCAGGGGATCTGCCATCCTCTTCTGGCCTCCATTACACAAAGGCACACACAGACAAATAACGCATGCAAAACACTCATACTTATTAAAAACAACAAAAATGAATCTTTTTTAAGAACAGAAAATTAGTTCTGTTATTTAAAGCTTTCAAAAAAGGTTTAAGGCTTACAGTTAATTTTTAGACAAAATGACAAAGAAGTGAAAGAAATAAAAGTCAGTGAAGCAAGAGACTGACAAAATGGAGTCTAAGGACATGCCTGGGTTAGATTTATCATACAGTCCTGTCCTGGGTTATCAATGATAAACATGTCAACTGTTGCTTTATTTCAAAAATCAAATCTTATATTTATGTAGACTTCCCTTCTAGTGCATCTTACTCATATTTCTGGAGAAACTTCCGTCCATAACCAAATTACCTGCATCCCAGAGGTTGCAGACTTCTGCTTCCCCTTCTGACAGCCAGGAAGTAGGAGAGGTGATGGAAGGAGGTATCTCAGGCAAAGGTTGCTTCGGACACTCGTCATGCAACAATGTTAGGTCCTGAGAGAAACAAGAAGGAATGCATGCACTGAGAAACAAATCCTGCATCAGAGAGATGGCTCAGCCTCTAAGAGTGTGCACTGTCCTTGGTAGGACTGGAGCTAGATTGCAGTAGGCACATCCAGCAGCTCCCAATTGTCTGTCACTCCAGCTCCAGGAGATCTGATGCCTCTGGCCTCAGAAGGCACTTGCACTAATGTGCACATACCCAGACACATGATCCAAAGAAAATCATGTGTGTTGGCTAGTTTTATGTCGACTTGATACAAGTTATAGTCACTGGAGAGGAGGGGGCCTCAATTGAGAAAATGCTTTTATAAAATCAGGCCCTAGGCAACCTGCAGGGCATTTTCTTAATCAGTGATTGATGGGGGAGGGCCCAGCCCATTGTGGGTGGTGCCACCCCTCAGATGGTGGTCCTGGGGTCTATAAGAAAGCAGATTGATCAAGCCATGGGGAGCAAGCCAGTAAGTAGCACCCACCCCCATGACCTCTGCATCAGATCCTGCCTCCAGGTTCCTTCCTGCCCAAGTTGCTGCCCTCAGTGCTTTGATGATAATAACTATTATATGGAACTGTGAGTGAAATAAACCCTTTCTTCCCCAAATTACTTTTGGGCATGGTTTCATCATAGCAATAGTAACCCTAACTAGGATTCATGTTTGGAATCTGACATGAATTCAGCCAGGAAACTAAGCATTTCTATCCCAGGCTCCTACAGATCTGTCCAGCCTGTCTATAATTTTGACATTTAAAGTATGTTATATAAATGGGACCACAGTCTGCAGCCCTTTAGGATTGGCTCTTTTCATCCAACACAGTTCCTAGAGATTTTATCAAGTTGTGCACACCAACAGTTCCTTCCTCTTCCCTGCCCAGGTGTGCGTCAGACACTGATGTTTAGCCCACTCAAGCACTGGGTTCTTTTTATCTGAAATTGCTGGGTACAGGTGTTTGTATGATGTAAGTAAATTTCCGTAGCTATGAGATAATGACTCGGGGTATCATTGTTGGGGTATTTGGAGGGATGTCAGATTCAGGTTTTGTTATTTTTGAGACAGGATTTCACTCTGTAGTCCAGGCTGGCCTGGAACTCACAGAAATCCATCTGCCTCTGCCTCATGAGTGTTGGCATTAAACGTACCCAGCACAGACACATACTCAGTTGGTTCTATTTTAAAAGATTTACTTATTTATTTATTGCGTATGAGTGCTTTGCCTGCATGTGCATCTATGTACCACTGTATCCCTGGTGCCCATGGGGGCCAGAAGAAGGTGCTGGATCCCTTGGAACTGGACATACAGGTGGTTGTGAGTTGCCATGTGGGTGCTGAGAATCAAACCTGGGTCCTCTACAAGAGCAGGAAGTACTTTTAACGACAAGCCTGTCTCTGCCCTGTGTATTCCATTTTATACGCGACTACAAAATTGTAGGGTGACTTTACCTAAAACTCCTACCATGGAAACAGGAGTGGTCTGATCCCTCCACACCCTCATCCACATGTGGCTGTCACCGTTTCTGTCCCAGCCATTCTGATATTTCACTGTGTCCTCAGGCTGACGATGCTGGCTATCTCTCCCAGCATTTCTTTACTTTCCATATTTGCTGAAATACTATTCATACTGTTTGCCCACCATCTGGTTTCAAGTTTGCCAAGTTTTTCCATAAATGGGTGCTGTACTCTGTCAGATGCACTCTCCTATCAATGAAATGATCTTATGATTTTTTTCTTTAACTTGCTGATAAGACAAATTACATGGGCTCAAATTGCCATGTCACCAACATAAGCCAAGCCTATCAGACTATGACAATCTCTTGTATCTGGTATCTGTATCTCCTTTCTTCTGTGCTAAGGATATAAAAGATAATGCAAACAGAATGTATCCATGGTTACCTGTTGGATTTTTCACACAGTAAACTCATCATTTTAGAGCAAAATACTAACATTGCAGAAGAAAAGCCCCAAATAAATGCAAGGTATATTAATTTCATTTTATATTTTAGTAATTACGCTTTATAGTGATACAAAGCTTTCCAGGTTCTCAATGACAAAAATCTACATGTGCATGCTCTCGTGCATGCACATGCACACGCATGCATGCATGCATGCATGCAAGAGCACATGCCTATGCACAAGCCCTTGAAAGTTGGAGGGTCATGTGGGACCTCCTCTTTGACTGTATGCCTTAACTTCTTGGCACAAGGTCTCTTGACACTGAGCCTTGAGCTCGCTGTGTTGTGTAGTGATGCTACTGTCTCTGTACTCCCCAGCCCTCCACACAGCACTGCAGCTGCCGATCCTTTTTGTGTGGCTCTCAGGCTCTGAACTCAGACCCTCATGCCTGCCCACCAAGCACTCTCACTGACTCTTGTCAGCCCCACAAATAAAGTTCTTGGCAGAACAGAGCTTTCAAAAGTAGAGTGTTGCTTTCAAAACCAAGGAAACCTTTTATGTTTATAATTGACCCTGGTCTGTTTTCTTCCTTCATACTCTCCAGAGTTTTTATCATTAAGTTTGATAATAAGGTTATTTGTAGCTTTCACTACCTCAAAAACAAAAGCTAAACCAAACAAATACAAAAAACCCTTCATTTCATGCCTGAGAAGACTGACACACAATCACACAGACACACACACAAGGTTGCAGATTTTTTTTTTTTTGGTTGCAGCTGTTTCCATAGCAACTGATAGGGATGTTGTGAAGTGGTTCACACAAAAATTAAGGCTGACCAAAACCTTCTATGTCGCTGTGAGTTGCTAAATCAATAGTAATGGATGATAAATGTCTGTTCTGCTGCTTCTGCTAAGTATTTTGTAAAATAAAGAATATACAAATTTTGCCCTTTGGTTTATTTTTGTGCGATCTGTCCTATTTGCAGAGATTTGCACTCATCAGAGTTGCTAGAGAAGCAGAAATTATACTTATTCTAATTATGTTTGTTCATCTTTCCCATCTCTGCTGCACATTGCTTCTGCTTAAAAGTCCATTTCAATGTCTACATTTGAGAATTATTATTTTCCAGATTAGCAAATACTTGCTGCAAAACACAAAATGACATGAGTGGTAAAGAGTGAAAAACAAAGTTTCTGCTCTCTACTCCAAAGGTGTTGCATTCCTCTACTTGAGGCAACTAGCACTCAGTTTACTTTATGAGTTTGGGGGTAAATTTTCTGTGTCAACACATATTTTAAAAGCTAAATGGAATCATTATATGTATATATATGGTGTACATACACACACACATATGTATGCATTGTGTATATACACACATATGCATGTATGTATATGCACATACTCTCTAGCCTGCCCAGGACTAAGCAATCTACCTTGTTCATCTTTCTACATAATAAATGCAATCATTCACTATGTGCTGTCCCCACATCGGCTCCTTTCACTGAAGTACACATTACAAACGCGCTTCTCTCAGGATAGAGCTGAGCTGTATTCCTGATGTGTAAATTAACTTAATCATCCCCTATTGGTAATCATTTCAGGATTTTTCTTGTTTCTATCTATTAAAATTGTTGCAATAAAAAGCTTCATACAGCCACCTTTTCAAGCTGCATGTTCACAGTGGCATCACTGAGTGCTCACATGGGCTTGTTTTGAGTTTGAACAGTGCCAAATTGTGTTCTCAGAAGTCGCACCTGCTTGTATCCAGCAGTGTGTTGAAGTGACTCTTCCTCTCAGTGCAAATACAGGTTGGTAGCAATTACACATTTTTTCCTCAGTGTGAAAGGCACACAATTTTGTTTTACTAATTACATATGAGACTGAATAATATTCTGGGAGGTATTTCATCCTTGTACATGTATATGTTTAGTGCTGTAGATTGGATCCAGGGCCTTAAGTACATAAAACACTCTCTACCATTTAGCTGCAGCCCTAGCCCACTGCTTATCAACTTCTTAAAGAAATATATAGTATTCATTTATTCATTTGGGGACATATGGGAGGGTCACACATATGCCACAGTTCATACATAGACATCAGAGCACACTTGAGAAAGTGGGTTCTCTCCTTCCACCATGTGGGTCCCAGGGATTGAACTCAGGTCCTCAGGATTGGCAACAAGCACCTTTACCCACAGAGTCATCCTGACTGTCCTCTTTATCAATTTCTAAAACTGCTGATCTATTGAAGAAGTATCTCATTATCAGCTTATTGTTCATTTTCAGTTTTTAACTTCTTAAAACTTTTTAGACTATTTTTTGCCTTATACAAGTCTTTAACTTTTAGGTAGCCAAATCAACTTATTATTCCATTATCACATGTGGAGTTGAAGTATTCTTAGGAATATCTATCTAACTCTAAGACTTTATAAAAAAAAAGTCTTTTAAAAACAATATATTTTAGCGCTACTTTGGGTTTACAGCAAAATTGAGCAGAAGATACAGACTTCTCTGTGCATCTGTCTATCTTACTGACAGCGTCACTGTTGGCATGATCCCTGAATGGTATACCGCGTTGCTGCAGCAGACTTTAGACACACACTCACTCAGATCTGCTGCCATTCATGCTTTGGATTTTGGCAAAGGTATAATGATACATGCTGATCATTATTGTATAGAGCAGTTTCCCTAAAAGCCCACTGAACTGCCTATAGACCCCTTCCTGTGCCCGGAGATTCCAACCCTTGTACTCTCCAGAGTTCTGTCCTTTCCAGACTCCTATTGTGGACTCCTGTGGTACAGACACTTTCACTGGCCTCTTGCTCTTACTAATGGGCATTAAAGTTTCCTCCATGCCTTTATGGATTACTGGTTCATTTCTTTACATTTTATTTTAATTTTTCCCACTATTTTTTATTAGAAGACTTAAGTTTACATAATGAGAACTAATGATAGATGAACAGTACCAAAATAAAAATGAAACTTGGGGATGGAGCAGTGGCTCAGTCAGCAAGAGCACTTGCTATACAGGCATGAGGACCTGAGTTCAGATCCCCAGCACACATGTTAAAAATAATTGGGTGTGACCATGAGCATCAGCTGCTCTTCCAGAGGATCGGAGTTCAGTTCCCAGCATCCACATCTGATGGCTCACAACTGTAACTGCAGCTCCAGGGGATCCAATGCCTCTGCCTCCAAGGCATTGCACACATGAGGCTTTCACTCACACAGGCATACAAACCAATATAAATGAATCTTTTAAAATATACTTTTTAAATAATTTTGTCTCCTTTAAGATAAATTTTCTCTCAATTGCAGAAAGAGAATAGTTAAAGAGGTGTGCTTCTATTTGACTTTTTAAGAGATGTTTTAAAGCCACCTCATGCTGCCTGAGTCCTGGACAACATCACTCCCTTCTGGCTCTGCATGGGAAACAAGGAGATGGTTGATGGCACAGATGAGCACCCTGCAAGCAGTTCACTGCAACAACCATCAGTTTACTGTTCAGCTTACTAGGATTTGTCTTCTGCTACAGGAACAGGCAGCTGGAGAAGACATATTGACTGCACTGAACGTCCCTAGTGTGACAGGAAGTCATGCTTGTCAAGAGGGTGATGGGACACTGTTAGCACACAATCATGCCTTGAAAGTGAAAACTTAGCTACTAGAATACTCCAGTTATCATTTTCTCGCTGATATAAAATATGGTGTTATGTAAGCCAGTAACTGAGGGCTCCTCTAAAACAAGTTGGAAATCTCGGGGTTTAAAGACTGATTCAAAACATCGGGTGGCATTTGATGTCTCTGGCTCTACTACACAAAGGGATATTCAAGTCAGTTTTCTACTGAAAAGCTGTCAACATCAAAGAAATTAATAGCAAATTTTAAAATCATTTGACCTCATGTCTTTTAAAATTATCTAGTTTCTTTTTAATCTGTAAGTTGTTGTGCATTAAGGAATAGTAAAATGGAACTGTTCATACTCTTAGGAAAATCCCTTTCCAAACTCTTAGGAAAGCCCTTAAACCCAGTGCCTAAAAGGACTAAGGAAAGGGGTCAGTCATAAAGTCAAACCCCCTTCCTAGGAAATGCAGTAGATGGTCGAGGACCAGCATTCACAGGAAAGGAAGAGCAGGCAGCACACTAGAAACTCTGTTTATAAAAGATGGAGGCAGGAGCAGCCTGAGGAAGCATGCCACTGAGGTAGGCGAGGGGACACTCACACTGCTCCAGCAGCTGACCACATGATGGGACACACACTTCCCTAGCAGCTGGACCTGCACACCCTGTGCTCTATAGACCAGACATGCATTATCTCTGACATCATGAAAGTGGGGACCTCAAGCTGCCAGTGTGAGTCCTGCAGCTAGCACTGCAGAAAAGCAGGGCAGGAGCAGGCAAATGGGGACCTGTTAATCAGGAAGGGGTAAGAGGGACACCACACACACACACACACACACACACACACACACACACACACACGAGACCTGCACAAGGAAAGCTTAGGATCCAATATTCTAAAAACCAAAATGTTCACTCTTGACAAAATGAAAATAAGCAAGTCTAAAAAGCATGAAAATGAAATATGTGCAGATGCCTCAAAGACACAATGAAGGTCACTGAAAGAGAAGCAGGAGCTGCAGTTGTCTCTGCTATCCCAGCCTTCCCCTCCTCAAATGCTGGCTGGTTCTAAGGGATTTTTTCACCTGAAATCTGTCTCTGTGCTTCTACCAAACCTGGAAAAACTCTCTAGTATTACTCTTATCTTAAGGGGAAAGTAAACAAAAACAGAAGCAATCTGAGGTTCTGGGAGTGGAAGCAGTCACTGAGTGAGAATAACTCCCTGGACAGGCACAGTTCTAGGCACCAACCAATGAAGGGACATATGGACGGACTAGAAGACAGACTGAAATGCAGCAGGAAGATGGAAGACAAAAACTAAGTGACAGATTAAATGTGTACCTAATAGACACTAATCAGAAAGAATTCCAGAGCAATAGAAAAAAGTAGCATTTGAAGAACCTCATGTCAGAACCAGAAATACAGGTTGGCATGTGCAAGCATAAGGAAAATAAGGTTCAGGTCTGAGGTCAGAGAGCACAGAAAAAGGAACACAGCAGGCGCTGGCTCTGCTTCTGGTGCATCCCATGCACAGTAGAGTACTGTGGAGAGGAAACAAGAAAATGGAGATACTGGTTTCTTATGAATGGACCTCTGTGTGCATGGGTGCAGCAGCTGGTGTGGGCCTTACAGCTAGCACAAGGTGAGTGGCACAGTGGTGGGATGGAATGAGGAGAAAGCTGCCTCATCTGCTGGCTGCCTTGGTGCCTGCTTCCATGCTTTAGTCAGAAGCTGTGCTCAGGAGGTCCCTCTGGCCAGAGCAGAAGCCCTGGGTAGTAGGGAGATGAGCATGCTCAGTGGTGATGATCAGGCAGGCCTGAGAATATTCATTTCTCCATTCCTGTTTCAACTCCTGCATAGACAGGTCTCCCTTTGAGGCTGCTGCTGCTTGGGGTGCTAAAAACAAAGAATTGGTGTGAGGCCTCAGTCCAGCAGGGGTGACCCTCCTCTTGTACTGGGGCAGAGAGACGTGTTCCCCACCCTACAATCCACTTTCCACCTCCATGTCCCCATTTAACCATGAGGCTCCCCTCCAGAGGGATTACTGGCAATTGTGGGGAGGAAGGGGGACATTGCTTTATTCAGTGATGGAGCCACAGACAGCTGCCCTTGCTCCACTAAATACCCTTTCATCTGTGCTTGGGCAAGTAAATAAATCTTCCTAAACTCAGTGGCCAAACAACAGAAGACATGAAAGTAGGAGGAATAGGGCCTCAGGGGCTCTTCCCCCACCCATGATGAAATGTTGTCAGGCCTAATCTTGTGCAGGACTTGCTGAGAAGAAGGGCTCCATGGGAAGAAGGGGATGAGGAAGGAAAGTGGAGATGAAGATATTTAAATTTCACTGTCTGTCAACATAGGAAAGCAGGGAGAAGGTCACTTAAGACTGTACTGTTCTACTGCCGGGCATTGATGGCGCACACCTTTAATCCCAGCAAGCACTTGGGAGGCAGAAGCAGGCAGAACTCTGTGAGTTCAAAGCCAGCCTGGTCTACAGAGCGAGATCCGGGACAGCCTCCAAAGCAATACAGAGAAACCCTGTCCCGAAAAAAAAAAGAGAGAGAGAGAGAGAGAAAGAGAGAGAAAAAGAAAAGTAAAGAAAAAAAGAGACTGTACTGTTTTGTCATCTTCCTGTAAAGTTGTAATAAAGGCTGTTTAAGGCTGTATAGCTCAGTGGTAGAGTGTTAGCGTGTTTGCCCAGCACGCACTGGGTTCCATGCCCAGCACTACAAAATAAATAAATGAACAGCACAAACTATAATATGAAGGAAAACTCAACACAATTTTACCTCGCTGATATTTAAAACCCCGAATAACATAAAACACAAATGGCAAGTGCAGTTCATCTTTCAGTTCATGAGGTAGGGAAGACGGACCTGGCAGGCAGCCTCGCAGTCACTTTGGACCAGCAGAGCTGCAGAGGAACACGCTCAGATTTTAATGCATGTGTTTGGTTACCTAGTACAGTGGTAAAGGGAACTGGAGCATCTCACCTCTGTTGATTTCCATGTCTTCATCCTGGGTAAAGGAGAGTCCTTGGCCAGGGAGGATCCAGGAGGTGAGGGGCTGTCCTGGAACTGTTCCAGCCTCAGCCTTACCTTGGAGGCATTTTCTGTCAACAACATAAAGCTAAGGTTTTACTTTGGAAAAAGATTATTTTTGGATTTGTATATAACTTTAATTACTTCTGAAGATTAATTCTGCGTACTAAATACACATCACACACCATGCCCACCTCTGAGGATGCACTACTTACAACATTAGCAAGTCCAGAGGGATTCAAGAACTACAGTTTGAGGTCCTTGGTTCTGTCCTATCTTAGCAATTCTGTTTTGTTTTATTGTCTGAAGTATTTTAAAAATAATGTAAAATGTAGTGATAGCTATAGTGTAACATATGGTGTCATATAACAAACTAAAATCTCAAAAAGGTAAACACTATTCAAAGGGAATTTTAGCACTGCAAGAATGATGACTATAATTATTAGAATACTTATGGAATCTTAATCCTTCGAAGTGAATCTCATGTGTTCTGTATGGGAGAAACAGACCAGAAAAGTATAGATTATTTGAGAAGGCAAATAAACCTTTAATGTAAAACAAAAATTTTAAGCATAAAAGAAAAGAAAAAATACACTAATGAAGATAAATTGGTATGTCTGTTTATGTTTATTACATTTAACATTATTTTTCAGTTTTAATATCTTTAGCCCTCCTGGGTTAGTTACTGCCTATTAGTACCAGATCTAAAGGTGAACCGTTAGGCCAGGATACAGCTTGGTTGTATAGCATTTACCCAGCATACATGAGCACTAAGAAAAGAGATGCCTGAAAGTATCAGTGCTACTGTGTCCTGGCATGTTATGGTAGACAATAAGAGGTTTAAGACAGCTGTCTTCATATTGGTGTCTGCATACTTGTGGGCTAAGAGCACACTGACCTTTTTAAAGGAATCAGTTTCCAGCTCTGCAACATTTGCAGATCTTTCTGCCAAAAGCTTATCTGCCTGAGAGGGCTTAGCCAGCTCTTTCCTCTTGGCCATTTATAACTCCCACTACTTCACAAAGCAAAGACATATCTTTCATCCACTTTGTGAATGGGTCTTCTTCCCCAAACATAAGACATCAATAGTAGAATCAGCAAAACAAGCAAGCCACCTCAAGGAAACCTCCTTTATTCAAAACAGGGAAGACCCAGTATCTTGTTCCATACATAGTCTTTTGAAGGCAAAGTAATGGCAATATGGGGTACTTACACTGGTCCATACCAGGACACCTGATATTCAGAAAAACTATATCATAGCATGGAGCAGCAGGACAGGTGACCAACTTCATTTAACATCCATGTGCTTTCCAACCCCAACCACAGTCAAAGAACGCATCACTCCTAAGGAAGATTTCCCTGAGAGCAGAGTAATGAAAGCCTGGCTGTGTGTGTGTGTGTGGCAGGGGAGGCATCCTTATGTTATCAGTGCAACAGTTCACATGGCTCCAAGCCTGAGATAGCCACCTTAGCAAAGAGTTTAGGAGTCTCATGACAGCCTGAAATCCTAGCATTGATGAGGCAGAGGTAGGAGGACCCTGAGTTCAGGGCAATTGTCTGCTACATATAGATTCTAAGGCCAGACTGGGTTCCATGAGACACCCCCCACAAAAAAGGCAGGCAAGATGGCTTAGTGGGTAAAGGCACCACGAGTTGTTCTCTGACCTCTCCTAACATGCTATGGCATGCATGGGCACACATGCACTTACATGTAAAACATAAGTAAATAAAAATATAATAATTGTAAAGGATGCTGAGATTTTTAAGGTTGTCTTGGTTAGGGTTTCTATTGCTGTGAAGAGACACCATGACCACAGCAACTCTTATAAAGGAAAAACGTTTAATTGGGGGTTGGCTTACAGTTCAAAGGTTTAGCCATTTTCATCATGGAGTCATGCAGGCAGACATGGTGCTGGAGAAGGAGTTGAGAGTTCTACATCTTGATCCACAGGCAGCAGGAGACTATGTACCACACTGGGTGTCACTTGAGCGTATAGGACCTCAAAGCCCACCTCCACAGTGACACACTTCCTCCACCAAGGTCACACTTACTCTAACAACTCCTAATAGCGCCATTCCCTATGGGCCAAGCATTCAAACACATGAGTCTATGGGGACCATTCCTATTTAAACTACCACAAAGGAAATAGGAGAAAATGCCAATACTTATTATAATAAATAAGACATTTCATGGAGAAAAAGGCCACCTGAAATCCAGTCCAATTTACTGTTTTGACAATGAGGTTGTATTTGCCAAGTAGATTATATGGTAGATATTTTCTAAAAATTGCATAAGCCAAAGTTGCTGTTTTGAAGAAATGAAAACATTTAGTATAAACTATAAAATCAGTTTCTGAAAAAATACATTACACCGACAGTTATAAGGCAGTTAGTATTTTCATTTCCCTGCAATTTTTTTATTATGTTAGGTTAGAGAACAAGTTTAATTAATAGTTGATAAATTTTGTAGTGTTTTTGTATTATCCCCAGAAATTGAAAAAGTGAATTACTCCTAATGACTATTTAGAAAATATTTCCCCAAACAATGTGTTCCCAACTCTTTGCTTTCATAGAAAGACGTTATCAAGTTGACAAGAGATAGGAAATATTTCTATCATAAGTCACTAGATAATTGCTGGCACATTACCTGGAAGGAATTCATAAGACTGATTGACAGTACTACAATAAAGTACCTTCTAGTACTGGCTATTATTTATGTGAACAAGTTTTTATAGCACTTATATCTATAAAAATCATGAAATAAAATGGATACGGTCTCATGCTTACAGCGAGGGATGAGTGGTATTCATATGTGGATGAATGGTCCCTCTTAGCTCATAAAAGCATGTGTTCCCAATTAAGCTGGATTTTTTAAGTGTGATATGTACTTATAAGGATGTACTATGAATTCAGTAGTTTTGATAGATTGTGTACTAGAAGGCAATCTAGCCTGGCATGATGGCAGCATGTCTGTAAACCTGCATTTGGCTAGAGACAGAAGAACAGCTAAGTTTGAAGTCAGCCTGGATATCCAGCCTGGGCTCTACAGTGAGATTCTGCCTCAAAAATACAATTTATGCATGTATTTGATTTTTTCATTTAGAAACAATCATTTTATATGTCAATCCCCCTGTTCCCTCTCCCTCCCATTCTCCAATGCCCCCTGTCAACCCCTCCAACTCACCCTGCACCCACTACCCAAGGACAGTGAGGCCTTCCATGGGGGAATCATCAAAGTCTGTCACATCATTTGGATATTCCTCCATGTATCTGGGATGAAATAGTATCCCTCCATAGGGAATGGGCTCCGAAGTCCATTTGTGCACTAGGGATAATTACTGGTTCTACTGTCAGAGGTCCCATAGACTGCCCAGGCCACCTAATTGGCACCCACATTCAGAGAGTTTGGTTCAGTCCAATGCTGGTTCCCCAGCTTTAAGACTAGGGTCCGTGTGTTCTCACTAGGTCAGGTCAGCTGTTTGTGTAGGTTTCTCCAGCATGGTCTTGACTCCTTTGCTCATCCCTACTTCCTCTCTACAACTGGATTCCAGGAGTATGGCTCAGTGTTTAGCTGTGGGTGCCTGCTTCTGCTTCAATCAGCTACTGGATGGAGGCTCTAGATTGGCATATAAGGTAGTCATCAATCTCATCATAGGGGAAGGGCATCAAAGGCAGTCTCTCCACTATTGCTTAGATTCTTAGTTAGGGTCATCTTTGTGGATATCTGAACATTTCCCTAGTGCCAGATTTCCTGTTAAACCTATACTGGCTCCCTCTATTAAGATATCTCTTTTCTTGCCCTCCTCTATTCCTCTCCTGTCTCAGTCTTCCTGCTCCCTCTGTTCTCCTCCCCCTCCTCTTCTCCCTTTCTCTTTAAAAGGGCTTTCAAGCATGAAAATACTACATATAAAGATAAGACTCTCTAGGCAGTATCGGGACTCACCTTTAATCCCAGCACTCAGGAGGCAGAGGCAGGTGGATCTCTGTGAATTTGAGTCCAGCCTGGTCTGCAGATGGAGTTCCAGGACAGCCAAGGCTATACAGAGAAACCCTGTCTCAAAAAACCAGCCCCCTCAAAAAAAAGCTAAGATTCAGTGAAGGATGTGAGATCAAATCTGACATCACTGAGATAGGAATGACACAAACTTTCCATAGTTAAAGACCCTGTGTTTAAAGTGAACGGCCGACTGCAGGTCTCAGTCCTACAGTACTCACTCTCCTTAAGATGTGAGAGGGAGTGGAGAGAGCACTCAGTGGGGTAAGTGCATGCTCTGCTATTGAAGAAGACCTTAATTTGGTGGCCAGCACCCACATCGGGTGGCTCACATCAGCCTGTAACTCCAGTTCCAGAAACTAAAGCTCTCTTCTGGTCGCCATGAGCACTCAAGTGCACAAACCTACCCAGAGACACACATAGACACATACATGAAATTAAAAATAAGTAAACAGTGACAACATGCATGTGGTATAACCTCTCTCTCTCTCTCTCTCTCTCTCTCTCTCTCTCTCTCTCTCTCTCTCTCTCTCTGTCTCTCTCTCTCCCCTCTGGTTTTTCAAGACAGGGTTTCTCTGTGTAACAGCCCTGGCTGTCCTGTAACTCACTCTGTACACCAGGCTGGCCTCAAACTCACAGAGATCCACCTGCCTCTGCCTCCCGAATGCTGGGAGTAAAGGCATGCCCAGTGCTCGCTCGCACCCCCCCCCTCTGGTACTGGACATTGAACTGGGTATTATTCATGCTAGGCAAGAGGTCTTTGTATTTTATTTTGAGACAGTTTCACTATGTCGTTCAGGCTGGCCTTAAACTCATGAAGCCCTTGTCTCAGCCTCCTTGGTAGCTGGGATTACAGGTGTCTTAGTTAGGGTGTCTATCGCTGTGAAGACACACCATGGCCACAGCAACTCTTATGAAGGAAAACATTCAATTGGGGCTGGCTTATGGTCTCAGAGGTTTAGTCCATTGTCATCATGGCAGGACATGGAGGCATGCAGGCAGACATGGTGCTGGAGAAGAAGCTGAGAGTTCTACATCTTGATCCACAGACATCAGGAGTCTGTGTTCCACACTGGG